GCTTACATGTTATATGAGTATATGAGAACATGATTGTGTTGATTGTTGTGTTGTTCATTGCATTTCACTGAGTTATATATGTGATTTTATACATGAATGCATGACACATGTTTTTGGAAGAAAAACCATAAGAACTAATGTTGAACTTTAAAATGTGTGGCAAAACAACAGTTTGAAATCGATTACATTATGGGGTGAATCGATTAGAACTTGTGTATTTGCACAAACTTTTTAAAGTTTGCTGTGAGAGTTTTTCAAAGAAAAAGTTTTCAAAACTTTGCACAACACTGTTGCATAATATGCGATATGTATTCAATTAAGTTTGTTACTGTTTTGAAATCTGTTAATGCTTGATATAACTGTTACAACGACTATATTTTTTAAATAGGTTGATCAAGCATTAAATGTTATTCGATTGCATTAATTGTGAATTCAATTAAGTGCTTTGACTGATAATATCTGTTATAAATAAATTGGTGTATTCGACTACATTAGTAGCAAAGTCGATTATGTTGCGTCTGATAAGAGTTCATCTATATATTGACGCAAATTTGATTTCTGTAAGAGACTTTTGTGATTCTAACATTTTCATATTCTTTTGCAGAAAAGTGCAAAGCTTACAAAAAGAGAAAGACCTCCAAGAAACTAGTTTAACCATGGTGACTAGGTGTGATTTCTTGAAGAGCAAGATTGCTGAGTTTTCAAAGTCTAATTTATCTGCACATTTAGGTGTCTACTGCAAGATCAGGTTCAAAAATCTGCTAAAGATTGGGTTTTGAGTTCCCTGTTGTGATTACAAGATGAAGGACGTGTTGCGTTCTTGACTTTGAGGGTGCCTCAAAGGGGTTGGACTACAGGATAGGGGATTCTTGCTGCTAGTATGTTTGTATACTGCCTATATTTTGATTAGAGGGTTATAGAAGTGTTATATATTTTTGACGTGAGGTCTCTATAAAATCTTGTTGTAAAAACCTGTGGTTGGAAGGACACTGGATGTAGGCTTAGCCGAACCAGTATAAAAACTCAGTGTTTGTTCTTTCTTATCCCTACTCTATTACATTCAATCAATTATATTTTTTACGCATTCGATTAAATTTTCACTGCATTGAAAATCTTTTAACTTGCGTTTCAAGAAAAGTATAAAGGCATCTTTGGGTGAAAAACATTTTGAAAGTTTTAAATTTTATACTTCACCAATTCAACCCCTCTTTGTGTGAGAATTTGAGTCATTCTTTTTTAACATTTTTCTTCTTCTTCTAATCTTCTAATTTTATAATCTTAAAATTTTATAATCTTATAATTTTATAATCTTATAATCTTTAATCTTATAATTGTGTAATTTTATAATTCTATAATTTTATAATTTGGTAATTTTATAATTGTATAATTTTATAATTTTATAAATTACAAATTTATAGAGTTAGAAAATTATAAAATTGCTAAATTATATTTGAAATAACTAAAAGAAAGTGAAAAAGTTAAACCGTAAATATCTCAATAAAAAATGTAACTTTAAATGTTTAATTAATAGTAAAATTTGATGAAAATTCAATTAATTTTTTTTAAATTTATCCGAAATTCAAAACTTAATCAAACCTTTTAACAGTTAAGAAATAAAAATTCAACGGAACAAAATAAAAAATAATTTAAGCCAAAAGAATAATATTTAACCATTCACGTCTCAATTCAACAAAATATACTGTGACACAGCCCCACCACTGCGAAGCCCACGATTTTTACTTCCAAAAACTGTGTGCTGAGGGCGGAAGCAACTATCAATGGCGGTTCCAGGGAGGCGCAACGGCATGAACGACGACGAAGAGGACATAGACGATCACGCCCTTTTCGAGGAAGAAGGTTTCGTCGAAGACTACTCCGATACCCCTCCTCACCTCCGCGACCTCTCCGCCGCCGCGCAGGTTGGCGACATCAACGCCCTCCGCCTCGCTCTAGGTTCTCTCGCCGTCACTCTCTGTCCTCTTTTTTTTTTCTTTTTTTTATCTATAACTCTGTAATAATTGATCTCTGACCTGCCCCTGCCTGCAACCTTTCTGTTGCTTCTACAAAGTTCAATCCAAACCCTAGCGAACTAGAGAATACGTTTTTTATATCTTATGTTTGAAAATTGATTCATGGAGAGTTACGAGTTTGGTCGACGTGAATATTTGTCACCCTCAAGTAAATTGTAAATTTGAGTGTCGTAGCTACGATTCTGTGTTTTCATCAAGGAAAAAGTGTATGCATCCACGATTTCGGCCGCAACCATGTTGATTTTAGGGTAAAAAGAGGCTGCATCAACTGAATATTCCGCAGCATGAATAAACTGTTAATGTAGTCCTTAAAGTATTGAAAATACATTACTTTAATCCCTACGTAATATTTTGCTAACATTGATATGCTAATTTGAGGGATTTTGGGATACTTCAAAGCTATGTAGTATGATTTATAATTCTAGGGACGACTCATATTATTTCATTACTTTAAGGACTTCTTAGAAGGGAGTCATAGGATTAAATTGACAATTTATTTCAATAGGGAGGATTCGATTGCCAATGCAATTTAATACCTTTATTCTCATGGCTTTTGAATTTGTTAGGGTCCTATGTCTGTTACATTAGCAGTAAAAATTTAAATTTTTTGAAGATTGATGTATAGTTTGTTTGCTTTCATGTCTCTCAGAAGTGGTTCTCTCTCGTACTTAGAAGCTAGTAGTTATAGCTTCTTTGATTCTTTGGTGAATGTGACGTGATTTCTTTCTTTTCAACATGTTTCCAAACATGCGTGATTTGTTGAGTTATCTTAAAAATTATCCTCACTTGGGTGCTGATACTGGGTGTCATTTCTGTTGATGCTTACCCTCTTGCTATATACTGCAGATAACCTGACTGGTAGTATTGATGAGCCAGTGGAGGATGGGGATACTGCTCTTCATTTGACATGTTTGTATGGCCATTTGGCTTGTGCCCAGGTATATTATTTTTGCTTATTCTTAGATGTTTTTACTCCAATTGTATGGACATTGATCTTGTTTGATAAACTGCAGCTGCTAATAGAAAGAGGAGCAAACATTGAGGCTAAGGATGAAGACGGTGCAATTCCTTTGCATGATGCTTGTGCTGGAGGTAGTTTGATTCTCAAATCATATTCTATAAATTGAACTTATATTTTTTTTATTGGGAGCAAGATTTCAATGTCGTTTTCTTTAAATGGTCTTAACAGGATTTACTGAGATAGTCCAACTGCTACTAAACAGAGCAAATAACGCAGAACATATGAAGAGAATGCTGGAATCAGTTGATTCTGAGGGTGATACTGTGAGTATTTATTAACCCTTCAAAAAAATTGAGTTCCTATACTTGGCTTCTTTCTTGATACCAATTTCAATAGGCATTCCTATCCCTAAATGTCTTTCTATCATGTTTGATGAATTTCTCCTGATTTGTTCTCAATCATTGTCTTGTGACTATTTTCTCTCAGCCTCTTCATCACGCAGCAAGAGGTGAGCATGTTGATGTAATTAGGTTGTTGCTGTCTAATGGGGCATCGTCCACAAAGGAAAACTTATACGGAAAGGTAACCCTTTAAAGAAATTTAGGGGATTTTGGTTTGAGAAAACATTTTTCTTTTTACTGGTAATTTAAAACTATTATCCGTCCACTTTGTTCCTCCTTTAAAAGATTTGTCTATGAAATGGTGGAAATATTTAATTGTTTTTGTTTTTAAATGACAATGTTGCAATTATTAGTGGAAGTCTAAAATGAATTTCTCAACTTAAAACAGATCACTGGGAATTGCCAATTTCTATTATTAATCAATTTCTAAAATAATTTTTGGCAGACCCCGGCAGATTTACCTGATCAGAACACAGATGCTCGGAGTTTGCTTCACGCTGCCGTCCCTGCCATGGCATGTTAATCGCCTTATGACGTTGGTCAGTAGAAGCATTTAATTTCATTTTTAGAGAGGTGCAACACTTTTTGGACCATAAAATCTGTATTACACACACTATACTCTTTCTTCGAATTCAAAAATCAAAATGATTTATCAGAGGAACATCTTTGGAGTTTTAACATTGGCTAGAGGAAAAGGAGGATTCCCTTATTACTTATATTTGAAATATATTTACCCTTCAATGTCGGTGAACTATGACTGGATGGATATATTCCTCATTTCATTACTTGTTTAAGCAGTTAGTTTACTAATTTGATAAACCTGACTGAGATATATACTAATTTTACTATAAAAATACTTTTTGTCTATTTGTTATATGTATTGCTTTCGACTTTTAAAAGTCAAGGGATATTGAAATTATTTATTTATTTTGAAGTATTTTTTTTTATCAAAATTTGATAGTGTTTTTAATTACTTAACACGTTGAACTCAATTATAATCAAACGGACTTGTTAAATAAATAAGTAAATACGTAAAAGGATAAATCTAATTCATTAATATAATTGATTAAAAAAAACTAAATGTTATTAATATAAGTCGTACCATTTACACTCTTTAATAAAAATATGAAGGAAAGATGCCTTTCTTTAGGGGCTTTTTTTCTTGCACTTCCAAATTTTCTTTTTGCATCTGTAAATTTTACTGTCAACTTTCGAAATATACATATAAAATATAAAATAAATTAGGTAATCCGATATTACTGCTTACCAAATATATTTATTGTGGTTCAGTCTATATTTATTGGAAGACTATATACTCCTAAGTTATTTTCAAACGTGTTTTTTCTTGTCTTCTTTTTCAATACCTCTCTTTGTTTTACTTCATTTTCCTTTCATCTCATCATTTACATTTTCATTTTTGTTCATCTTTCGGATATACATATTATTTGTTTTTGTTGGTTAAGTTTAGTTTAAAATTTTATATTAAGTTTTATTATATTTTGTATTTATCGAATTTTAAAATTTAGTTTAAGAAACTTATTAAATTTCAAAATGTGATGAAAGTTTTTTTCGGATTTCAAAATTGAGTTAATGTTTCTTTTAGATTTTGAAATTTGGAGAAGATTTTTTTTATATTTCTAAATTTGGTAAACATTTTCTAATTAAAAGGATTTTTGAATTTTAAAATTTGTTTCAAATTTCAAAATTTAATGAAGATTTTTCTTGAATTTCAAAATTCCATGAATACTTCTCACGAATTTTGAAATCTACATTGATTTTACTTTTTTATATTTTTTTGTTTTAACTTTTTAAGTTATTTTAATTGTTTTATTTTAATAATTTATTGATATCTAATTATTTCTATTATTAACTAAGTGAAATATTATGCTATAAGAGAT